ATAGAGTCCAAATCAGCTCGAGAAGAAGAGGCCGCCTACAATGCCAAACTCGATCTCATCCTAGATCGATTGATGGCCCAAGCAAAACGAGAGGAGGAGATGGAGCTTAGATATGCCCGTTTGAGCGAGCAAGTGGAGAATCTAGCAAGGCGCATCGACTCTATTGAGTCCCAGGCCAATGAGCATAAGTTTGTGGACCCCCATCCGGCGCCCTTGCACTTCAATGAGCTAGGGGATGACTCTTCGGGCTACAATGCCAAACTCGATCTCATCCTAGATTGGATGATGGCCCGAGCAAACCGAGAAAGAGAGATTGAGCTCGGATGTGCTCGACTGAGCACACAAATGGAGAACCTCACTGCACGTCTCGACTCTATAGAGGCACAAGTCGACGAACCCTACCTCATGCTTGATACTCAAGCTCGCACTATGAAGCAAATGTGTGAGGCTGAAGAAGATGATGATGAATCCCAGCGAGACATTGATGATATTTTAGAGGAGGAGATCCATGGGCTTGATTCTCAAGTACCTCCTCCCACCTCCGAGTTAGAGCATCCGTCTTTGGGGCTATTGCATTGTGTTACGAAGAGGGAAGGATTCAGTTCGACTTGCTCCACAGATGTACTTATCATTCCGGAGGTTGACGATAGAGCTCGGGTGGGAAAAGCTCTACATCTAGAGTTGGGAATTTCTCGTACCCGAGACCTCTTTATACAGAACATGACCACCCGGATCCACTATGGCCGCCTTCTAGCCACACTGCCCGAGCTACCACTTCTCGAAAATACGAAGGCGTGGCATGACCGTCACTTCTTTCTGGATCCCGGTTGAGTTCCCCTCAGGTTTCGTCAAGCTAATGACGTAAAACAAGCGCTTCTTGGGAGGCAACCCAAGTGATATTTTTTGCTTTCTTGTTCATTTTCTTATGTTTGTTCTTTTATCTTTAAATAATGGGAGGTTTGGAGTTTGTGTGGTTTTCTCGACAGGTACTATTTGCGAGCTTGAGCAGGAGGAATAACGAGGGCCGAGGCTGAGCATAGGCGAGTGACTTGCACATGCATGCTATTTCTCCTCGAGGCATCTTTGGTTTGCACACACTTTTTTTTATCTTTTTGAGTTGCTTCGTGTCTTTTCTTTTTAGTCTTGTGTGCTTGTGGTAGGTGCTAGTGTTGGTTCGCTATATGATAGTGCTAGGTTTTTTTTATTTGACTTCCTATTGTGTGTTGAAGCAATGAGGGCATTGCCTCATTTTAAGTGTGGGGGAGTCGAATTGGGTTTTGCATTCTTATGTGGTGGACCAGTCTAGCTTAGGTTTTTGTGTTGTTGAGCATGTGATATTGGTGAATTATATGAATTGTTGATGAATGTTTGATGAGATTGGGAAGTTGTGATGACAGACGTGTGGTCATTGCCTCAGTATTTGCTTGATTGCTTTGAGTGACATTTATTTACCTTGTGAGGTTTTGATCCTTATTCTTTTTCTTGTGAGATGTTGGTCATGTTCATGAATGATTAGAACTTGCCTTGAGTTTATCTGAAAGGAATCAATTAGAGTTTAAAATTGCGAAAGTGATTGAGGCGTTCTGTTTGATTAGCTCTTTTTAGCCTTGTTCTTTGATCCTAAACATTATTTTCCCTAGTAGCCCGTTTGAGCTTTGAGCCTTTTTCT